TCCAACCTTGGTCCGTAACAAGTCAACAAAAATAACAAAGCTGCATCCATAAACACTGAAACAGCTGCCTAGTAAGTCTCGAGGACGGTCGATTGCAGATAGACCCCTGAACTTATTACCCCTCTAGTTTTTTTTTTTGGACTATAGACCTCCAACTGATTTTATTAAGACTCTTTTATACCCTCAGAGAAAGAATTTTTTTTTTCACTTTTTTCCTTGAACTTATTACCCCCTCTAGTTTTATTTTTACGTATAGACCTCCAAGTCATTTTGTTAAGACTCTTTTACCCTCAGAGAATAAAAGTTTTTTTTTTGGACAAATTTTCAAAACCATCTCATATGGATATTTAATCTCAAAACTCCCGTGAAGTTTCGGAAGTTTTCTCATAAAAACCGACCTGGTTTCAACGTCAATGCTAAAACCAGATCGGTTTTTGAAAATATTGTGAAAATGGATCTTTTTTTTGGGATTAAATGTGGAGAGAGGTCGTTTTTAAAATTTTGTCCTTTTTTTTTTACTTTTTTCCGCTACACTTAGGCCCCCCTGAGGTTGAAAGAGCCGACAAAATTTCACTCAGGGTTTTATCCGCAATTATACAAAACCACGTTATGCTGAAGACAACCTCACAAGGACAAATCAACAGCGAAGATTAGGTGAAGCTTGCATCTTTGGCAACAACACAGACTGCAATACACCACAAAGCACATTTAACTCAATCATGAACTTTTGAGGATTGCTTCTCGTCAACATGCATCAATAACAAGTTACAAGACCAATAAACCAGTATCCATCCATAAAACACTGAAACAACCACCTCCGAGTGCCAACCAAGCAAACAGCATAAACTTACAAAAGCCACATCAGAAGAACAAATCACAGCATACCAAATGGTTCAGGCAGCGGCTCGAACCTGTGATCAAACACAGGGCTCTGGTCGGACTTATCCTCAACGCTATGCAGCCAGTTCATGTTTTTCGAATCCTCCTCCTTCAACATGAAAGCATCGTATCGAGTGCCTCCATGGACGTCAAGCTCAGAGTCTCTTGCTGAAACGGAGTCTCTATCTGGGGACTTGGAGGGTGCTGCTGTGAAATCTCCATTCTCTGAGGGAGCGAAGTTGCTCCTGCAATCCGGGGACATTGTTCCGTTGTAGCTACCGCTATCAGCTATGCCGTCATCACTTGCAAGTGGGACCACAGGGTCGGATTTGCGAACGGGTCGCCCTTTAGTAGAAGCTGAGCGGATGCTTTGAGGGAAAAGAGATGAGGCTCGAATGCCACTCATTCCTTGACGAATGTCCTGAGGTAATAGGAAAAGAATGTAAGGAGTTTGAACGTGTAGCCGGTAATTGGTTCAACAGTATTCAATTACATTTTTCTAAAGCTTGGTAACCATGATGCACCAAACAAGCAGATTTGAATAAACGGGCATGCACCAGCAAGATGTGTAGTTTGGGAACCCCACTATCTGGTCGGAGTTATTTCCCGATGTAGCCTCTTAGATACTTAAGTCAGTATCTTTTATTCAAAATTTTGTTGATAAAAAGAAAAGGAAAATATTGGGGAGGTGTTTTAGCATGGGAATGCTGTTTTTACCGTTCTCTCTTTGGGGAGAAAGGAATATACTTGTTAGTTAGTTCCTAGAAGTGTGTTTACCCTTCTCTCTTTGGGAAGAGAGGTTCATACTTGGTAGATAGGGATTTTGTGGCGGTCTAGAGATTTCATCATGATTTGGATGAAAGTACGGTTACGGCAGCGGACTTTGTCGGTGGAGCCGAGTGGTTTGTCCCCCTCTATATTTGTAGTCCTCACTCTTGTATGCCTATCTTGTTGATTCCTAATTAAAAGTCATATTGTCATTCCAACATCTCTCGACCACTCGAGTCTACAGCCTCAATGCGCCATCGAACTCACTAGATTGGTTGGCAACCTTGTGGATCATTTTCTTCAGGTTATTCAGAGATATACATGTGGATCCAATTTGAGGGTCACGTTTAGATCCGTATTTGTATGGTTACTCTTTAGGGAATAGGATTTGGGTTGTCACAAGTGCTTGACTGCTTGGATAAGTTCTATAGAATTTATATAAAATCTGATAAAGTTTATTTGCATCATACTGAATTTGTTAGGTTGTTTACCAAAGAAATCTGTAATCCAACCAACATAAGATGATTATTGAATTGAATTAAATCTTTGCCACTGTAATACTGATGGGAAAAAAAATAAGTCAGGAGAAGTTGAGAACTTAAAAAGAAAGAAACCAGATTATGTATAGATCAAGGCATGGATATCTGTATGTCAAATAGCAATGATAAGAACCTTGATTTCAGTTGAATGTGGTCAAGCACCTTCATCTTTTAGTATATAAACCCAAGAAACATAAACGCAGCAATAATAAGTGATGTGGTCGACACATAGAAATATAGGAAAATGTGACCGTCTAAAATGCAATAAAATACTATGGGCATTAGTATGCATAAAAGTGAAATCAAGAGAAGGGATATTGGTATCACATTATGTATGAATAACAATTTTCGTTGGCATAAAGGATTTTAGCCAAAAAAAAGCCTTCAGATGCCCGTAAATGGAAATTTTTTTTAAAAAAAATCATACCATATGTCTCAATGCCATGTCAAGCGACTTCTTCGAAATGTTCCTTCCAAATCCAGTACTCTCCGTCGCAGAAACCGGTTTGATAGGCCTTCGCAATCCACCATCCAACGAGTTGAGCCTTTGAATCTCAGGTGCAGCACCAGCCTCATGGCCATTATTGCCATGCAATTTAGCAGTAGATCTTGATGGATTCTCAGGAAACCTTCCCTTACTCACAACTGGCATATAATTTCTCCGGTTTGCACCACCAGGAGCTGCAACTGGTGCTGTCACTGCTGCAGCAGAATTCGAATTTGCCCGAGCAGTTAATGACAATCCTGGACGAGTCCTGCCAGCTGAAGCTGGCCTTTCCGGAAGTTTCGTCCTCAAATTTGGTGGTGCATCAACAGGAAAATCAGGAAGATCAACTGGCCTCACAGGAGCTCGGGGCCGTGGGCCGGGGGAACTAGGGCGTGACGCTGGCCCAACCGGATTCCTGGTAGTTGTAGAGTTAATACGACCAACAGATGGGATTCTGCTACCAGCACCTGATGAAGTGGGTCTACGAGTAGGAGTTGATGGTCTAGAGCTAACACGAGAATTTATATTTGGATTGGAAGGAGTTTGAGGTCGAGAGGAAGTAGGGGTTGAGGGCCTAGAACTGTTAACAGGGCGAGTGGTTCTGCTGTCACCAGAAATAGGGTTTGGTCGGGTTCTTGTCGGAGTGGGCCCACGTGATGGAACTGAGCGAGAGACTGAAGATGGCCGTGTAATAGTGGAGGTTGAAGATGGCCTTGTAATGGTGGAGGATGAAGAGGGTCTTGTATTGGTGGAGGTTGAAGAGGGTCTTGTTGTTGAAGAGGGTCTTCCAGCTGTGGAGCGGTTGCCAGGTGTTGATGGTCTCGAAGAAGTGACGGAAGCCGAGCTTGTGTTTAGAACTGAAGTTCGGTTGTTGTTATTGGAGAAAGAGCTACTAGAATAGCTGCTTGAGATAGAAGGACGGGTCACTGAACTGCTTCGCACTGGCCTGATAGAATGGCCATTATCTGTTTGAGATGCTGACAGCTGCAATAACAAGTGGAACTTTCTTATGCCTTCTATGAGAAACCAGGAATATGATACAAACATATGTCAAATAGATTAAAAGAAAAGGAAAGGATAAGTACATCAGGAGAGAATCTAGCATTTGAAATCATAATCCAACCATGTTAGCAGAGTAACAAAGTAAAATGGGGGTTAAAATGGACGTAGTTTTAATTCCCATGGAAGTGGAAGAAGAAATTGTCACTTACCATTTATATCTGCTCATAAGTACACCACTATAAAATGCTGCTAGGAAACTATCTACGTGATTATTTTTGGAACATGAAAAAGTTTGTGTCCTTCTTCAATAAGCATTAAAGGGAGACAAAATAATCCTTTAAGATCTTTTTGGTCAATAAGCACTAAAGGGAGAAAGAAAACTCCTTGAAGAAACTTATTGATATTTTCCCTTTTTTGTTCTCAATGTCACCAAAGGCCTTTCCAGCAATTATATATAGTAAATGGCAAAAAGGAAAGTTGAATATCACACAACCACAAGAAAATCTGCCACCCCTGCATCGTTTCCATGCAACATGGTCTCCCTTCCATAAATTCCTGTGTTAGCGAGCAGCTTGTCCCAAACTATATAATATTATGGAGAACGAATCTTATAAGAACTCGTTCCACTTAGAAATGGTATACCAGAGCAGCCTAAGCCCATCTTCTGCAAAAAAAAATCTGAGCCTTCAGAAAACCTAGACGGCTTGTAAAGCTCTAAGTAACCTGTATGAACTCAAGCCATGGAAAGACAACAGAACTGAAACATGCCAGAAATGCAAGTCATTGCAAAACAAAATGTTCATTACTTATGCTAACAAACATTTTAGATAAAGAGATTTGCAAGTAAATAACAAAAGAAAAATCAGACATTTTCATCCCGGGCCCCAAAAAGAATCGAAATATTTAACCTTAGTGAATAACTACATCGAATGAAAAAGATAAGACATACCCTTGATGGTCGTGTATTTGAGATTGATCTAGCAGCTGGTCTGCCCCTTGATGCTGTTGATGATACTGGGCTCTCCCTAGCTGAAGGTGCTGTTGAAGATAGTGGACTCTCCCTAGGCACCACAGATGGATATAGAGGAGTTTCAGGGGGAGTGAGGAGCCTATCCATGTAGAATTTAAACCAAAAGATAATTAGGTTAAAAAATCCAAATAAAGATGAGACAAAAATTAAAGCTATAAAGACAGCAAATATGAGACAATTTTACAGAAAATTTATCTAAGAAGAAGGAAAACAGAGTTGTAAGTAGTTCAAAACTATTCATGTGGCCTGGACCAAATATTCACTTGTTACAGCCCACAACCAGGTCCTTGATAAGTTCGAACCGAAGTGAGTTTCCTCAAAACATTTAACGAGATACATGCATCATGGACCAAGCGCTGAAAATCTATATTAAGTAGTAACTTGGATTTTTAGTGCTCATAATCATCAACAACTATACTCTCCTATAAGGTAAGTCCAGGCTCCAGCATAGGAAGCCTACAAGAAGATGGTGTAAATTAGACTAAGTAATTGCCAGAGTTGATTGATTTCCCATATGAAGATAGCAATTAAAATTAAAGTAACTGGATTTGGTTAAATGGAACCGAAAGGAAAATCACCAACAATGAATTTTATTTTGCAAATAAAAAATCTGCATCCTCTACGTATTAATAGCACGATATGTGCCTCAATTACCTGATATTTATGCCGGCTTGCATAGTAAGACAGGCATCCTCGCCAAAGAGCAATATTAAGTATTGAGATTGAGGATGTCTCTAAATCATTGGGAGTAGGGATAAAAACAAGATTTGCATGAGAATTTTCAGCACAGATCAAATGAATAGGACTTACTACGTTGCGTACGACATTTTTTTTGACATAATTTACAATTTCGTTGCTTATATATAAAGACTGCAAATGACTTGCTTGCATTCCAATCTAGTTGTCCCAATTACATCAATTCAAATAATTGCAACAGGAGCTGTGATAAAGATGCTCCGGTGTCAAATTTAGTATGATGCGCATTGCTCAGGTTCATCGAAGTCATCTCCACAAAAGTATGTTGAAATACAGGAATATATAAAAGAGAACATGACTAGAAATGAATTTGAGTAGAATGTTTGTGGGATGAATGTCAGTACCAAATGGTCAATGAATCAGCAAGATAAATGAGGGGACACAGTTGAAATCATTCTGACATGTGAGACAAATAGGTGGTTGAGTTAGGAGGTATGATCATAATTATTGGTAATAAGGACTAGGGTTAGATGTGAACTTGGAACAAGACAGTAAAAAAGGATTTGTATGACAGCTAGTTTAGTGGATGAGATGTCTCTTAACAGCACTGACTGAAGAAGAGGATGCATGTACTTGCCCTCAAAGATTAGCAACTAAGGATTTATCATTATTATTGGTCCAAATATTGAAAACTCTTAATTCAAGCAGGTTAAATGGAAGGATCAATTGTATATTGAACATCAACATAACTAAGTATTATGACTTGGTGAATCAAGAAATTTATAATTATAGTACAAACCAACTTCATACATATATTCTGAATCCATGTAATGCTCAAGGTTGTACTAGATAACAAGAGATAAATTAATTAAAATGGAGCATAGCCATCAAATTCTATCATCTTAAACCAGTTCCTTTTTGGACAGTCTTCGAAACAATTCTAACAGAACCCTAGAAGAACTCACCCAACTCACCAATTAGTAGACTCAACAGACTCACCATTTAGTCAATATGAGACCATGTGGACCCTCGCATACCACAGTTGTCCCAAGTCCTGGTGTCCACACGGTCTGGCTTTGCACTAATCTAATATTGTCATACACTGCAATACCAGTGTCATACCTTTGGGTTTACATGCAACTAGTCCTGATATTACGGACCTCGGCAAACTCACCCCTGAAAGCTAGCTGTTACAGGGAGTGTACTCAAATCTCTAATAAACCCACAATGGACTCCCTAATCCCTATTTAGTCGATGTGGGACTAAATGGATCCGAACAAATTCATTTAACCCAATTAGGGATGGTACAAGCCACACCTAATAGCTACAATATATTGATTACTGTCTCATCCGATTATCCAAAAGAAGTTACTGCTGGCACTTTCCTTCTTTACCCTCCTAAAACAATTAACAGAGTTTACGAATTTATGGCCATAAATTAGCTACACTTAAGTTGGCTACCGATATTCCGTAGTAAAAAAAAAAGGAATTTTTCACACTGAGGTATAAAGAATATCATTAAGAACACTGTTAAATTGGAATAAGAACAGTTATTATCCACAGCATCAAAGATGCTTGAAATCAGGAAACACTGTCTGAGTTTATAAAGAAATTACCAATCGTAGTCGTGCTTCCCAATCTCGGCGTCGAGTAGGTCTTCCATTCCTCTCCCGATCCTCGTTGACCCCACTGCTATCTTTTCCAACCTAATCGGGTCTGCGAAAACAAGATACACGAATTATTCACCGTCGAAACCCAACCAAAAGGTTAAATTCTACAAGGAACTCCACATTCTCATCCGAAAGATCTAAAGTTCAGACCTTTAGGCAAAATTCCCAGAAAAAGGAAATCTTTTCATAGATTTCCATATAGCTGAGTCACTCTTATCCAATAAATCTACAGTTTAAACTTGGACATAAATTCTTATAAAACCGCTAGAAACAAAAGAAAACATACCAAAACAAATATTACATTCATCCAACAAACAAAACGCCAAAACCTAATTCACCGACATAACAGCTAGAAAGCCTAAAGCAGATAAAGACAAAACTGAACCGGGTCACCGCCGGTGAGCTTACCGCCGTCAGATCTACGGGTCCGCGAGAAGAGATCTAAGTTCTCGTCAGAATCTCCGGTGATCTTACCTCCGCTCCTGAGCTGCTGGAGCTGAGATCCGACCGATGCTCTCCGGCCACCAGAGATCGAATCGAGAGCGATCCTGCTCATCTCAGTTCACCGGCATTGGATCGAGTTGAGAGAGAGGGAGAGAGAGAGAGAGAGACAGATGGCGTCAAGGTCCGAGATCTGAGACGGAGTAAAATTTGGGGGTTTTCTAGATCTATTTCCCCTTTTTTTTTTCTTCTGATGTTGTTGTTGTTGGATTGGATTTCGAGCTTCTTTTCTAACTTGCGCCCTGCGTTTGGTTCTTTCAGTTTTGGTCCTTAACATGTTTAGTAATTTGAAATCAGTCCACCGTTAAAATTACTATTTAGTCCCTCATATTGCTAACATAGGTTGGGTTAGTTATTAAGCACATATTGTAGTTACATTTCTACCTCAATTCATCGCCCAAAACATCTTAAAAATCGAAATAGATTTAAATGGGTTTAGGAACTCCTGGCCTTGGGTGTAAATGGGTTTACAGATTTGAGTTTAGATTTAGAATAACTTGAGTGAGATATAACTGGAAACTCACGATAAAAGGTTAACTGGAATATTCTTTTAAATCACACAATAACTTACCGCTGGGACTACTTTGGAATAACTAATTGGATTTGAGGGATTAAGTATAAATTTTAGCAATTTGAGGGACTAATTTCAAAATAATTGAATCTTAAGGGATTAATGTAGAAAAAAACGTATTGAATAACACAACGGAACACATCTTCGCGGTCCACGAATAGAATTGTCGGTTTTGCCCTTCTGTCCTTTCCGTTCCCTGTTTTTGGTCCATCTGCGCCGAAATGCAAAATTTGGTGTTTGAATGAAGAATGGACGTAATTAGTTTTTTATTGTACAGTTTGAACTCGCAAACTGTATAATTGAAGTTCTAGTGCTATTAGTAGCATTTTATTGTATTTGTTAGTAAATTACAACGCATTTATAACTGCATTCAGCTTCATTAGCGGGTAATGGAAATTGTTTGATTTTGCAAGTAAATTTCAAACACAAAATATATATATATATATATAAAAACGAAATAAAAAAATATAAATGAATGGGTGTTTCTCATGAAAATCCCTTTGAACTCGGTTTAGGGCCCGTTTGGTTGGTTTATTTTGAAGGGGAAAACTGTCACACATGTCTCATCTGTGACAGCTTTCTGCCACTTTCCCTCTTAAAAACGGGAAACTAAACGGGCCCTTATTGCATTAAGCCCCAAAAATTTTGGAGGTTTCGCACAATCTCTTTCACCTTTTAGTTTTTTCTAACTAACATATCTGACTGTAATAAGAGAAAAATAATAGAGACATTTTAGACAGAAAATCTCAATTTAGTCATTTGTAATTTACAAGCAACAAATTTAAAGTTTGGGAGGACTTTGATTAGAGGGGAAATCACATTTAGTTTCTCTTCTTTTTTTCCATCAATTATTTTATTTGTCCTCTTTTAATTCCATTGATAAATGATTATTATATTTATAAATAACTTTTCATTTTTTTAAAAAAGGGGGAAATTTCCAATAAAGCGGATGTTTTGCTAGCGTTGGCCAAAAAGAGAATGAGTTTTTTGATTAATAAACTCATATTTCAAAAATCATCAAGTTGTGTTAGTCCAAGAGTTTTCACACTTGGGTGTTGATAAAAGAAGAAGAAGACGATAAATTTTGAAAACAGATACCTTTACAAAATAAATTCAAAAAAAAAAAACCGTTTCCACTTTATTTTTTAAAAAACGACCTATTTTTAGCCTCATTGCTGAAACTGGGTTGGTTTTTGGGAAAAATGTTCCCAAACTTCACGCGAGTTCAACTCCCGTGAAGTTTTTTCATAACAAAACTTCACGGATTTTCAACTCCCGTAAAGTTTTGTTTTGAAAAAAAAAACTTCATGAGAGTTAAACTCCGGTAAAGTTTGGGAATATTTTTCGCAAAAAACGACACAGTTTTAGCCCTGTGGCTGAAACTATGTCGTTTTTTGCGAATATTTTCAAAACAGTTTTTTTTTGAAAATATTTTTGCAAAGGGGTCTGTTTTAAAATTTTGCCTAGAGGAATATTCATACTTTGTTGGATGAATCCGATCCATTTGATGTACTTTCTCCCTTTTCCAATTATCGTACTTCACTTCAAAGTTGTCCAATTTATAAAGCATCATAGTTTACTAGTTGGAACTGAGTTGTCGCTATAAAGTTGAATTCAAAAGTGGAAAAAAAAATATCCAAATTTATCCCACCGTTATCCTGAGGCTAATCAACCTAAAAATTGGTTTGAAAATTCTGTTTACTGATAAAATATCAAGTTGGGTCTCTTTGATTGGCACAAATACTCATGCCGTTGGTTGTTATTAATTACATTGTGACGCCACTTTTTAAAAATCATGAATCCCTCGTTGAATATTATTAGTCCAAGTCACATAATGTATATTTGGTCAGAAATGCGAGTAAAGATGTACAAAAAGGCTAGCCAAAAAACTTATTTATTTGATACTTTGAACTAAGGGGGTGTTTGTTTCAAATCCTATAATTTTAGGATATGGATTTCACCATGGGATTTGAAATCCATAGGTGTTTTGTTATCGGTTATGATTTCTAAAATGTTGTTTGTTTCATTAATATTTTGGGATTTGGAATACTAAAATTTGTAATATTTTGTTTGTTTCAAGCTCAAATTGTAGCATTACCAAATGCCAAAATTTTGTAATATGATGAATATACTATCTTGGTGAGGTTACCTCCCACAAAAAGATAAAATTAGGATTTGTCAAATCCTCTCCAATTGAGAGGTAAGCACACACATTTATGGGATTTGTCAAAATCCTCTCCGGTTGGGAGGATTTGACAAATTCTAAAAAATTTGGCATTTTTTGCACGTTTAGGATTCAATATTCTAAAAATTTTCTTAAAACAAACACCATATATGGAATCCCAAAATACAAAAAAAAAACTCACTTTTTGATTCTAAAACTTATAACCCATACCAAATGCATATATAAATATTTCACATGCGCTCCATCTCAAATTGTATGCATCCACCGAAAGTTTTTTTCTAACCGCATAACTAAATCTCATCTAGTGACTCTGCTAAATCGAATGCTTTTCCTACTAAATCTCATTTGTCAAATCCCCATTTAAACCAAATGGATGCGAGGCGCTCTTTATGCATCATGAATTTGATGTATATATCTTGGTATATATATCATGTAATATAATTCTACTAGTGTGCTGTCCGTGCAAAGCACGCCGATAATTTCTTTCCACGCTACAGTAAGCATGTTTTTAAATGCTTGATTTTTTTTAATTGCTACAGTATCCCACGTTTTTTTACATTATTACAGTATACTCGTGCTACAGTATTAATGCTATAGTATTTTCAAAGAACGCTGCAGTTCCCGCTTCTGCCACAGTAAGTTTTTTAAGCGCTACAGTATCCCGTGTGCTACAGTAGTAATGATGTATTAATATTTATTGTAGTATTAACTGTAGTATGAACAATGAATCTTGGATTCTCCCGTTTGTATAGAGGAGTAGATTTTCTAAATTTTTTTATTGCAATCAACTTATGGCTGATAAAAGCATACAGTTTCTTAGGTTATTAACACGGTATCAGAAACAACTAAATTATGAAAACTAATTCCTCACAACAAGAACCCCCCCCCGCCCCCACCCCCGCAACAAATTCGTGAGCTTAACAAAACTTTAGGCACTGTTTGGCAACAAGAGACTGTGGCTTATCTAAGAGATTGTGTCTTATTGACTTGGTCAATAAGCTAGTAGAGTTGTTTGGTGACCAAAAATAGGAGGAGATTATTTTGGAGATTGTGTCTTTTGCAAATAGCTTTTGGAAAGCTACCTCAAGTAGCGTTTGTCTTTGGGAAGGAGCTGCCAATTTTTTTTCTTCCGTTTTTGCCCCTAATAATTCTAATTTTATATCAATAATATTGCATGTCCTTTTTAGTCATTTAACAAATTTAAGCTAGTTGTACAGCTATTTTTGCCAAACAGCTCTAGTCAATCAGCTAGTTACACAGCTATCAACTTTCAGCTATAATCCCGCAACTTTTAGCTAGCTTAACAGCTTTCAGCTATAATCCCACAGCTTTCAGCTAGTTTTGCCAAACAGAGAGCCTTAGACTGATGACTTGCTTGCTTCAAGAAGAAGACTTCATCCACGGTAAGATTCCTTCAAGAAAAAAGACATCATACACAATGAGATTCCTTCAAGTTTCCTCCTCCATATTTTTATTGTTTCTAAATGGAATATATGTTTTATTCTTGTCATACTTTTAAACTAGTAATCCGAATTCCAACAAGGATGATGATTGGGTTTCAACTCAAACTCAAACTCAAACATCAGGGCGGATGATTGGGAGTAGCTTCGATAATCTGATTAAGAATCCTAACATTAGTTCTAACCTAATTTAATTAGAAAACTCAGTTGAGAACAAATTGACTAGTTCGCTATTAACTCTAATCTAATTAGGTAAGTAAATACAATTCTAGCTTAGTTACGACTCAGGACACCTGATAATAGCCGTCCAAATAAGTGAATTCCAAATTAAACCACTGCAGGTTGAATCCCAATCATTATTGTTGTTGAATTAGAATTCCTAATCTCGGTAGGACAAGGAGAATTAACGCGTTATTCCTCTTTAAATTCCAGGCTTCAGCCTGCAATTTCACTGTGTTCCTCTAAACATACGGACACAAAGATCATCTCCATCAATGGCTTCCAATTCTCAAGAAACTCACACCTACATGTTACCTCCTTTCGAGTTAACCATCAACTCCGAATCCTCATCGATCGACATCTCCGCCGTTACACC